GGGTCAGGAGAGGTCTGCCACGTCACATGGATCTCCTCCCGGGCAGGCGGGGATCGAACTCGTGCGGAAGTGGCTTAAGCTTCTTTTGCAGTGCATTAACCGCTGCGCCACCAGGCGTTTATGTCTATTTTTTAAAGTATTAAATGTGTGTGTGTGTGTGTGTGTGTGTGTTTACGTCATTCTTCATGTTGTGCATCTTTTCATCTCGGTTGTAATCCCTGTGGACTTCCCGCCACCAATTCACCCATGTGCTATCCCCATCGTCCAATGTGCTCTTCCCACCCCAGTTTTGATTCTATTCCCCCCTCCACCCCCGTAAAATGTCTTTGGGTTATAGTTGTTTTTTGTTTCAAAAGGACACCAGCACCCTATGTTTATTGCTGCTCTGATTACAATAGGGAAGACGTGGATCAACCCAAATGCCCAAACATAGATGACTGGATTAAGAAGATGTGGTACATATACAAAAATGAATACTACTCAGCAGTCAAAAAAGATAAACACATGCCTTTTGCAGCAACATGGATGAAGCTAGTAGGGAACATTCTTAGTGAAAGAAGCCAGAAAGAAAAAGAAAAATATTGGATGGTTTCACTCATAGCAGGAGCATAAGGCATCGGGGGGCTGGAGGTGTGGGTGGGGGTGGGAGAAGAATTGTAATACTTTATGTATATCGTCTACATCATTCTTCATTGTTACACAATATATGCTTTCTCCTCCAGTTGACCCATGTACATCACTTTAGTCCCTTGGATTCTTCCCTCCCCTGCTTTGACCCCTCTCCTTCCCCCTCCCCTGCAGGATGTCTCTGATTTAGAGTTAACTGTTGATTTCAATTTTTTTTTAATTTATTTAAAGATGTATTTATATATACAAGAGCTGGGTGTAGGCCTGAGGTGTGGGGCTTGGGTGTTGAGAGGATTTACCAGAGACAGAGGAGGGAGCAAAATAGGCAGATCCACTGAAATGGAACAGATGAGACAGGAGAGGTCTGCTGTGCCATATGGGTCAGCTCCAGGGC